TCCGGGGGCGGGGCCAAGGGCGGGCCTCCGGGGGCGGGGCCAAGGGCGGGCCTCCTGGAGCAACGAGAGCTGTGGGGTAGAGAGGCCGGAAGCGGGCGAGTTCCGGCGGACGTCGCCATCTTGCCGTGAGACTGCAGGAGTCGGCGCGCGATGTTGTCTTCTGCTGCCGAGCACCGGGTTCCCGGCCGGGAGCTGGGGATGGAGTCGCGTTGCGCCGAGGGTCCTGTGCAGCTCCGCTTTTCACCCTACGCCTTCAACGGAGGGTAAAGGCCTGGGGTCCCGGGCTCGGGGTGGCGGCGGCCTGGGGTCCCGGGCTCGGGGTGGCGGCGGCGGTCTGGGGTCCCGGGCTCGGGGTGGCGGCGGTCTGGGGTCCCGGGCTCGGGGTGGCGGCGGCCGCGCCCGGGGCTGTGCGGGTCCGATCTCCCGGACCTGCGCGCAGGGCCGTGGGGTTCACCGGCCGCTCCTGGCTGGCGATCGGCGCTGGGCCGCCTCTGTCCGTCTGGGTCGCGGTGTACTTGGGTCTGATCCCTGCATGAGTTACTGCAGACGGGAAGGGGACTTACCGCCGTGGGCCCCTCTGCTGGCCCTGCGTGACCATGCCGGCCCCGGGCTTGGACTCTCAGGACTGGGTGCTGTCCCTGAGCTTTTGTACTCAGGCGGGTGCTCTAACACCTGAGAGCCACAGCTCCACTCCTGGCTTTTTGTTGTGGTTTTGGTCGGTCGTGGGCCTGAACTCTGGGCCTGGGCGCTGTCCCTCAGCTCTTCAGCTCAGGGCTAGCGCTCTACCACTGGAGCCACAACGCCACTTCCGGCTTTTACTGTGTCTGCGGTGCTGAGGAATCGAACCCAGGGCCTGATGAGTGCGAGACAAGCACTCTGCCACAGAACCACTTTCCCAGCCCAACTTCTGGCTTTTTTTGAAATGGTTAATTTTAGGTTAGAGTCTAACGGATTTTAAACTGCTTTGAACTACTGTCCTCAGATCTCAGCCTGCTGGGTTGCTGAGGTTACAGGCATGAACCACGAGTGGCTGGCCAGTATGTATACTTTTGCATGTAGGTTGCTTTACCTTTTTAATTATCCACTTTATCTTCAAATGCTTTTCCTTAGTAAAGCTAAAGTTGTAGAACGGTTCTCTGTTTAGGAGTTTTGACAGTGAAGAACTATAAAGTTAATGTGGTTATAACTTTTCTAACTTTATAGGTTACAAAATACACAACCAATTCTAACTACCCATTGTTCGTTAAGAAAGTTAAAGACATTATTCATGTACTTCAGAATTTTAAATATCAAAAATTGAATATGCAGATGTTTGGAGTAGAGAGTGAAAGGTTTATTTTAACCTTGATTTTTGCCACTAAACGACAGTGTAGTTCTTGGGTACCTTTATTTTTATTTATTTATTTATTTTGCCAGTTCTAGAGCTTGAACTCAGGGCCTGGGCACTGTCCTTGAGCTGCTTTTGCTCAAGGCTAGCACTCAACCACCTCAGCCACAGCTCCACTTCTGTCTTTTTCTGTGTATGTGGTACTGAGGAATCAAACCCAGGGTTTCATGCATGCTAGGCGAGCACTCCACCACTGAGCCACATTCCCAGTCCCCAACTTTTAACTTCTTGAGCTTAAATTTTTTTTTTTTTACCTTCGATGTTTAAGGAAAAAAGTGAAGCCGTTTTGTAAGCTATATATAATTACCTTATTTAATCCTCAAGATAAGAGGATTCATGTTAGATACTACTAGTTCTGTGGTGCTCTTAGAAATTAAGTTGTCCTGATTACAGAGCTCTGGTGTATATTGAGGGAGATCTAAATTAATAGCTCTCTCACCACTGAGTTTGTGAGTTTTTTTTCCAGTACACTTCTTAACACTTTGTTATGGCTTAGTATTTACATTGTAAGGGGTTATTAGAACCATTCCATAAATGTATTATACATTTTCCCAGTAAGAATTATCAAGGTGTTAATATGCAGGACTCAACTTTAGCCCTTGTAATTTAGTTTAAAGCATTACTCCCCTAAAAATTATTAATGTTTTCAATTCATAAATCGCCCTTTCTCCATCTTTGTTCTTTCTTTTCTTTTTTCTTTTTTTGTCAGTCATGGAGCTTGAACTCTGCCTGAGCACTGTCCCTGAGCTCTTCAGCTCAAGACCAGTGCTCTACCACGCGAGCCACAGTGCCACTTCCTGTTGTTTCTTTTAAACATTTATGGAAGGTGACTTCTGCCTCTAGAAGACTTAAGTCAGTAGTGTACAAGTTTCCTTATTACTTTTTCATGTCTCATCCCTGGGAGAATAATTCAATTCTGACTTCTTGAGTGAAATGTTTTTTCAGCCTGGACTTGCTGCTTTCATCATAATTCAAGTTAATAAAATACTATAAACAAGCTAATTCTTTTCAACCACCCTTTCTCCTACACCTTACAGTTATGCTATCATCCTACTTGTCTAAGTTTAAGACTGAATGTCATAATTGTCTTTCCTAGTTAAGAAAATTTGGCTGTGCTAGGCACTAGTGGCTCATGCCTGTAATCCTGGCTACTCTGAAGGTAAAGATCTGAGGATCAAGGTTCCAAGCCAGGTGGGGCAGGAAAGTCCATGAGACTCTTAAAAAAACAAAACACCTGGAAGTAGAGCTTTGGCTGAAAACGGTAGAGTTCCTGAGTTCAAGCCCCACTACTAGAAAAGAAAAACAAAGTAGGGGAATGTGGCTTAGTGGTAGAATGCTTGCCTCGTATTCATAAAGCCCTGGGTTTGATTCCTCAGTACCACATAAACAGAAAAGGTTGTAAATGGTGTTGAGGCTCAAGTGGTTGAGTGCATGTGCCTTTTTTTCCTTCTATTTCACAAAATGTGTTAATTGGCACGATAGTATTACAGTGCTACTTTGCAGGTGAAACTTTTTAGCCTTCATAGTTCCTTAATTCCAAACTAGCTTGGCATTTTGATTTTGTTGTTGTTGTTGGTCGTGGGGCTTGAACTCTGGGCCTGAGTGCTGTCTCTCAGCTCTTCAGCTCAAGGCTAGCGCTCTACCACTTGAGCCACCAGTTTTCTGGTGGTTTATTGGAGATAAGAGTCTCAAGGACTTTCCTGCCCGGGCTGGCTTTGAACCGTGATCCTCAGGTCTCAGCCTCCTGAGTATCTAGGATTACAGGTGTGAGCCACGGCACCTGGCTGGCATTTTGATTTTCTAAAACAGGCCACTGGTTCATCAGATAACACAAACAGAGCCCCTTGAATATGTAGATGCTTGTTGTTTATAGTACCTAGACTGCCTTTATTTTATACTTTGGAACTTTAAGGCACACTTTGCTACAGTAAAAATAGTAGCCAAAGTTTTCTGAGTGCTTATGTTTGCTTATGTTCTGTGAGACACTATCCTTTTTTTTTTTTTTGCCAGTTGTGGGGCCTGAACTCTGGGCCTGGGCACTGTCCCTCAGCTCTTCAGTTCAAGGCTAGTGCTCTACCACCTGAGCTATAGTGCCGCTTCCAGCTTTTTCTGCTTATGTGGTGCTGAGGAATCGAACCGAGGGCCTCATGCATGCCACCTTCCCAACCCCTGTGAGACACTATCCTAAATGTGCTATGAATTCAGTCATTTATCTTAGCACAGCCTTCCCTAATGCTGGCACTGTTATTACCATCAACTAGAAATGGAGAGTTTATCCAAATGGCACACAGCTAGTAAGTGGCAAGAGTCTGACTCTAGTAACGCAGGTGTTTAGTCATCACACTCTACTCTTTCATCACATGCCATAGTTGGTTGTAGCTCATATTGATTAGAGGATCACGAGGTACCATCATGATTTTTCATCTTCAATTTTTGCAACACCCAAATGAAGTTATGTGAAGAAAGTGTGGCCTTGAAAAGTAAGTTACCTACATCGTAACTGCTAAATAGGAGAGTCAGAATGCAGTCTGCTTTTGCAGTTGTACTCTGAAGCTCTTTAGTAATGTACTCTGAAACTCTTTAGTAAGCTATCAAATTATAACCAGAAAAGAAAAAACAAAGACTGCATTCATCAGCAAATCTGAGTCACTACTGTATTAGACTTTATTAAAGGGACTGCATATAAAGAAATAGTACTACTGCCTTCATTTGTGAACTCTGACTCCTTGTGTCATAGGACAGTGATGTACATATGTATGTATGTATGTATATATATATACCTCAGTATACATAGATATGTGTATATATGTCTTAGTCCTCAAAGGACATTCAGTTCTGTAATATCACTAGTCCATATATGTAGGTAGTTATCTTTTACATTAGCATACATTAGTGTTACAAGAGTGGTTTCACTGTGGTATTTCTACACATGTATATACAATGTGTCCCAATTAAACGTGAACCCTTTATCATGTTCCCTTACTTTCTCCCCTTCCCCTTAAAACATTTTCAACAAGTTTTGATGTTCTGTTTTAATACATGACAACAGCAAACTACTTCAATCACAGTTATTTATTTTTTTGTTGTTGGTCATGGGTCTTGAACTCTGGGCTTGGGCCCTGTCCCTGCGCTCTTCAGCAAGCACTCTACCACTTGAGCTACAGCGCCACTTCCGGTTTTCTAGTGGTTTATTGGAGATAGGAGTCTCACAGTCTTTCCTGCCTGAGCTGGCTTTGAACTGTGATCCTCAGATCTCAGCCTCCTGAGTAGCTAGGATTACAGGTGTGAGCCACCGGCGTCTAGCTTATTGGTTCCCACCTTGCATTTAGCTCTTTGATTATAGTAAAGATAATTCTATCCCTTTCCCATTGCCTCCTGTCAAGGAGCCTTTCCTCTGTTTTAAAATTAGGTATTTTGTAGATGACTTGTAGCTTTCTATTCTTACATATAGATCTTTTTTTTTTTGGGTCCGGTCATGGGGCCTGAACTCTGGGCCTGGGCGCTGTCCCTCAGCTCTTCAGCTCAAGGCTAGCGCTCTACCACTTGAGCCACAGTGCCACTTCCGGCTTTTTTTTTCTTTTTGCTTATGTGGTGCTGAGGAATCGAACCCAGGGCCTCTGGCTTGCAAGGCAAGCACTCTACCACTGAGCCACCCTCCCAGCCCATATAGATCTTATCTAGTAAGTTTTTTGTCCTGTGGAGTACTCTTCTATTTGAAAGATTGCTGTGGTGAAGAATTGATACTGATAATGAGAAGAATAAATAAATATTGTTTCTTTTCTTTCCCCTCAGTACTGTACTGGCCATTGCTGGAGAAGATTTTTCGATTGTTGCTTCTGATACTAGATTGAGTGAAGGATATTCCATTCATACCAGAGATAGCCCCAAATGTTACAAATTGTAAGTGACTATTCTAAGGATGCCTTTGCTATGATTGAAATGCTACATCAGATTCTGCTTGTTGGGGCAGTTTGTTTCATGGATTCTTTTGTTTTAGGTTTTATTTTTATTTTTTGTTGGTCATGGGACTTGAACTCTGGGCTTGGGTGCTGTCCCTTCACCCTTCAGCTCAAGGCGAGTGCTTTACCACTTGAGCCACTGCACCACTTCCAGTTTTCTAGTGGTTTATTGGAGATAAGATAGACTTCCCTGCCCAGGCTGGCTTCCAAGCTGGTGTTGAACGGTGATCCTCAGATCTCAGTCTCCTGAGTAGCTAGGATTACAAGTGTGAGCCACTGGTGCCTGGAGGTTTTTTTAGCTGTATTTTGTCTTTTCTTTTTTGGTACTGGGGATTGAACCCAGGATGTTGCACTTGCTAGGCAAGCACTTTACCACTGAGCTACATCCCAGCCCTTATGGAATTTTACATAAACAAAATCAAGTGTTTCCTAAGAATTGAGTATCTGGGGGCTGGGAAGGTGGCTCAGTGGTAGAGCGCTTGCCTTGCATGCTCGAGGCCTGGGTTCGATTCCTCAGCACCACATATGCAAAAAGAAAAAAGCTGGAAGTGGTGCTGTGGCTCAAGTGGTAGAGCGTAGAGCGCTAGCCTTGAGCTGAAGAGCTGAGGGACAGCGCCCAGGCCCAGAGTTCAGGCCCCACGACCAGACCCAAAAAAAAAAAAAAGAATTGAGTATCTGGTCTATGATATTTGTCATGTTTGGGTACCAGAAGTTCATTTGGTAAATATTTTTACGCTAGTGCCTTATTTTGTATACAATAAAAGTTCTCCCTAGTGAGCCCACACCTATATGAATGGCTTTCATGTGTTATCTTCCCCATAAATGTACCACCTCCTAGTTGCCACAACAATAGCTAGATTTTAGCAGTCATTTTCAAAAGCTTATTTGGAGGTTGTTCAAAGCTGTAGAACTTTGGTCAGAAATGTTCCTCCTCTGTCAGAGAAGGTCATCCTCTTAGAATGAGTACACAGCTTCAGGAGGGACACAAGTGCAACAGTAAGGGAGAACTAACTACTAGCCAGTTTGTTAACCCAGTTGGTGGCTCAACAGAGGTAGATGCTGTAACCAGGTTGCCCTCATTTCCTCAGTTTAAGTGATGGAACAAACATCCAAAGCATATACTATTACCTGTTAAATGTTTTCTTTTTCTTTCTTTCTTTTTTTTTTTTGTGTCGGTCGTGGGACCTGAACTCTGGGCCTGGGCGCTGTCCCTCAGCTCTTCAGCTCAAGGCGAGTGCTCTACCACTTGAGCTACAGCGCCACTTCCGGTTTTCTGGTGGTTTATTGGAGATAGGAGTCTCACGGTCTCTCCTGCCTGGGCTGGCTTTGAACCTTGATCCTCAGATCTCAGCCTCCTGAGTAGCTAGGATTACAGGCGTGAGCCACAAGCGTCCGGCTAATGTTTTCTTAAATGCCCAACTTACTCCCCCCCCACACAAAAATGGCTTAGATATATCTTTAGCAATTGTAATCCATTGCTCAGTGCTTTTTTTTTTTTTTTCCTGTGGAGATCCACATCTCCACTTCTGGCTTTTTTGCTAGTTAAGAGTGTACCACACTTCACACTTTTCTGCCTCAGTCCTTGCATCTCAGCCTCCTGAACAGCTAGGATCACCAGGCTTTACTTCTGAAGTCTTTTTTTTTTTTTTGGTTGGTTGTGGGCCTGAACTCTGGGCCTGGGCACTGTCCCTCAGCTCTTAAGCTCAAGGTTAGCCTTCTACCACTTGAGCCACAGTGCCACTTCTGGCTTTTTCTGCTTATGTGGTGCTGAAGAATCGAACCCAGGGCCTCATGCATGCAAAGCAAGCACTCTACCACTGAGCCACCTTCCCAGCCTACTTCTGAAGTCTTTAGGTGTTCCTTTCTCCTCTGTTCCACTGTGCCTTTGCTACCTTTTTCCTTCCTCTAAAGTGTATCTTTTAGAATTTGATAGTTGTAAATACCATAAAGAAAATTTTAAGATGTGATTTTATAGATCCTTGTGTGAGCTCTGACTCCTCTACTATCTTGTATATATGCTATTAAAGTAAGAACTTATTTTTGTGAAGCACTTTGGCTGCAAAGATGGAGAACAATACAACAGTATTGAATATTTGTTTGACCTGATCCCATACTTAATTGCTGGCCTACAGCAAGGTTGCCCTTGCTCACTTGTTTGAGACTGTACTCACTGACTGTTCTTCAGGTGAAAACTTGATTCCTTTAAGATGTATGGATATTTAGAGCAAGAGTCTTAAAGTTTGTTTTTAGGATTGATCAGGAAGTACTGGTGTGAGAAGTCCATGATTTACATGTTTATATGGGATGGGCATAAAATTCCAACGTTGACAAGATTGGTTTAGACTTGCTTACAGATTGCTATCAAGGTTCAGGTTTTTTTTGTTGTTGTTGTTTTTGAGATACTATTTTGAATTTGGTGTATATATATATATATATATATACACACACACACATATACATATCAAAATGCTGTCAGTTCCCTGCTAATGAGCACTTGAATTGTTTTTCATGTATTTGTTTGTTTGGGGAGTTTCTAAAATGTGCTCAGCCCAGGATTGCTGGGGTACATCTGTAATTTCAGCAACCTGGGAGGTAGAACCAGGAGGATTGTGAATTGAAGGCCAGCAAGGCAAAGTTAGCAAGGACATACCAGGCCCAGTTTAAGCCCCAGGACTGACCAAAAATAAAAAAAGAGTTGTCTATTTAAATACATGTTAGATATTGCCAAAGTACTCATTTAAAAAATTAGTTTTATGGGGCTGGGAAGGTGGCTCAGTGGTAGAGTGCTTGCCTCACATGCATGAGGCCCTGGGTTCCATTCCTCAGCACCACATAAGCAGAAAAGGCTAGAAGTAGTGCTGTGGCTCAAGTGGTATCGCACGCTTTCCTTGAGCTGAAGAACTGAGGGACAGCGCCCAGGCCCAGAGTTCAGCACCAACAACAATAAATAAATAAAAATAAAAAATTAGCTTTACTGATTACATATATCTGAGCATACCTGTTTCTTAGCACCTTACCTGCACTAGTTGGGCATTACTGGTCAGGCTAATTGGTTGAAACTATCTCATTTCGACTTGGATTCTGAGTAACTTGGAGGCTTTTAGGTCAGTGGTCACTATGTTTCTTCTGTGACTTGTTTGTTGATAGAACTTTTCCTGTCTTTCTATTGTGTTGTTAATACCTTATTTGTAGGACCCCATGGTAGGCTAAGGAAATTAAAAGAAGGCTTTGGTAATACGTGTTCCCAATATATCTTTTAACTTATATGTGTATGTATATTTATTTTTATATTTATGTGCTTATTTTTGTTGGCTGTAGGGCTTGAACTCTGGGCCTGGGCACTGTCCCTCAGCTCTTCAAGGCTAGTGCTCTACCACTTGAGCCACAGCACCACTTCCGGTTTTCTGGTGGTTAACTGGAGATAAGAGTCTCAGAGACTTTACTGCCCGGGCTGGCTTTGAACGGCAATCCTCAGATCTCAGCCTCCTGAGTAGCTAGAATTACAGGTCTGAGGCACCACACCTGGCTAGATTTTAACTTTTTTGGAGGGGAGAGGGGGCATTGGAGGTGGTCATGGGGCTTAAACTCTGTCCCTGAGCTCTTCAACTCAAGGCTAGCGCTCTACCACTTGAGCCACAGCACCACTTCGGTTTTTTTCTGTTTATGTGGTGCTGAGGAATCAAACCTAAGGCAAGCACTCTGCCACCGAGCCACTTTCCCAGCCCGATTTTAACTCTTAACTAGTCAAATTTAAGGGACTTGATTTTTGGATTGTGTCATATTTAATCATCCCAGCCCAAAATTTACCAGTGTTTTATTTAGTCCACTTAAGGTTGCAATTCTTTTCTAAGAATTTCTGGCCCACCCACAATTCATTTGGGAAAAGGAAGAAAAAGTAAGAATATAGACTGTAGGATTTTTTTTTTTTTGGGTCCGGTCGTGGGGCCTGAACTCTGGGCCTGGGCACTGTCCCTCAGCTCTTCAGCTCAAGGATAACACTCTACCACTTGAGCCACAGCGCCACTTCTGGCTTTTTTTTTTCCTTCTGCTTATGTGGTGTTGAGGAATGGTACCCAGGGCCTCATGCATGCAAGGCAAGTGCTCTACCACTGAGCCACCTTCCCAGTGCTAGACTGTAGGATTTTGAAATTTGAAATTTCCCAGACTTGTACTTTGTTTCTAGTTTGATCAACCTTTTTTCATGAAATGTGCTTTTTTGCAGAACAGAGAGAACGGTCATTGGATGCAGTGGTTTTCATGGAGACTGTCTTACCCTGACAAAGATTATTGAAGCAAGACTAAAGGTAGATTCTTTTAACAGTTCATTAAATTCTTTTAAGCTGTGACATGACTACTACTTACAGTAGCTGAAGAGACACCCAGTTAGAAGGTATTGTTAACTTATCCTAGAAGTGGAGCAGTACCATCAACATAGGCCATTGCAGTCCTAGGATTGGCAGCTGTAGCCCAGTTCCATCTGTTAAATCCTCTGTGCTGCATAGGGGTTCTCCAACTTTGGCAGCTTGGAGAACTTTCTTTTTTTTAATTGCTGGTATTGGTGCTTGAATTCCAGGCCTGTTATTCTTGCTTGGTTTTTGGCTTACAGCTCAATATCTAGATTTTTGCTGGTTAATTGATAAGAGTCTCTAGAATTGTGTGCCCTAGCTGATTTTAAGCCTTGATTATCAAAATCTCAGTCACCTGAGTAGCTGGGATTATAGACATAGGTTTTCAGTGCTTAGCTCCAGACAGCTCTTCTGAAAGTTTTCTTTTCTCTGAAACAAAACAAAAATTACAAACAAAATAGGTTTAAGTTAAATCAATTTAATCAGTTATGCAGTAAGCATGTCTTTTTGGACAGGAGGATGGCGGGGGCCTGGGGCTTGAACTTAGTGTCCCAGTGCTGCCCATGAGCTTTTGGCTCAAGGTGGCCAGGCGCTGTCTGTGAGCTTTTTGGCTCAAGGCGAGTGCTCTACCATTTGAGCCACAGCTCTACTTCCATCCTTTTGGTAATTTATTGGAGATCAGCATCTCACAGACTTTCCTGCCTGGGCTGGCTTTGAACTGTGATCTTCAGATCTCAGACTCCTGAGTAGCTGGGATTACAGGTGTGAGCCACTGGCACCCAGCTTCTTCTATTTATTTATAACTGGCAATACCAGAGTTTGAACTCACAGAGTATCATCCTTTTTCAGCTTGCACTCTACCATTTGAACCACACCTTTATTCCGCTTTTTGCTGGTTATTTGAAGATGGAGTCTCATGGATTTTTCTTCATGAGCTGGCTTCAAACCATAATCCTCTAGTCACAACTGAATAGCTAAAATTACAGGAATGAGCCTCTGACACCCTGCTGCAGGAAATCTTTAGTTGTAAAAGCAGACCATGTACTAAATTTGGACTTTGGACTATGGGCTATGCTTTTCTGACCCTTGGTCTAGGTGCATGGTCGCATCTTCTGTAGACCATCCCATAAGCCTTGCTTTTTGTATATTTACTCTTAAACCAGCATGCCTGGGATTAGGATGGCAGAGAACAGGGGTTCTTCAAATCATTTGAAGGCAAATTTAAGATTTTCCATAAAAAAATTATAACCCCCCCAATTACATATAATTACATATAATCTTAGTAATATTATGTTACTTGATCATGAAAGAAATAGGTAAGCTTTTCTTTTTCACTAGGTATGCTTTTAGCAGGTCCTAGTTGTAGACTGACAGCTGTACCTCCACATACCTGTTCCTTCTCTCAACTATGCAGATGTACAAGCACTCCAACAACAAGGCCATGACGACCGGGGCTATTGCTGCCATGCTGTCCACCATTCTGTACTCGAGGCGCTTCTTTCCATACTATGTTTACAACATCATCGGTGGACTTGACGAGGAAGGTAGAGTCATCTTCCAGACATGTGCATTACCACCTGTCCTTAAAAAGAGGCACGAATACCACCTAGCCCCGTAGCTAGAACCCGATGTTGAGGTGTGGTTAATGACATCCAGAGCCACAGAGCAAGTTGTGTACATTTGGTGCATGGAGCAGCAGAATCTTGGATACATTCATAGTAAAAAGCTTTTTCCCGGTGTGGGGGGTGCTAGGGGGCTGCATCTTGAACTTGGGGCCTAGGTACTGTTCCTGAACTTTTTTTGCTCAAGTCTAGCACTCTTATCACTTGAGCAACAGCTTCACTTCTGACTTTTTTGCTAGTTAATTGGAGATAAGAGTCTCATCAACTTTCCTGCCCTGGCTGGCCTCAAATCGAGATCCTCAGATATCAGCCTCCTGAATAGCTAGGATTACAGGTGTGAGCCACTAGTGTCTGGCCTTATTAGCATTTTTATCACATAAAAGGATATGATTTCTCCATGAGATGTAACACCCATAGTTGTGCTGGAAAAAAATTGAAAATTATATCTTAGAAGTCATTTGGGATATCTGTGCTTCCTACAGTATATTCAGACTTTATGAAGTACCTGATTTTCTGTTAGAGTAAGACAAGAGAAAATCAGCTTTATGACCTGACATTTTCATCCTGGTTTTGATCCAAAGCTACATAGATGCAAAGCACTAATGTTTTCCACCAGTTCTTTTTTTTTTTGGGTCCGGTCGTGGGGCCTGAACTCTGGGCCTGGGCACTGTCCCTCAGCTCTTCAGCTCAAGGCTAGCGCTCTACCACTTGAGCCACAGCGCCACTTCCGGCTTTTTTCTTTTTGCTTATATGGTGCTAAGGAATCGAACCCAGGGCCTCGAGCATGCAAGGCAAGCGCTCTACCACTGAGCCACCTTCCCAGCCCCTCCACCAGTTCTTACTTCGATTTCAATTGCTTCTAAAAACCAACTACAATCTTCCAGCAAAGAGCCATGCTGCTCTTTAGAGAAGTCCATTGTGATAACTAAAACATTTGGACAAGGGTACCATGGAGGAAGTTCTGTTTAGAAAAATTTGTAGCTGGAATCTCCCTGAAAGTGTCACAGGAGAGTTCCATCAAGGGACTGCCCCAAACTTCAAGTTGAGATTCAAAAGAAAAATCACACTGAAGCATTTGTTGGGGAACCATACCTGCAGTGCTCCGGCAGTCCTTCCAGTGAGCAATACAAAAGAGGTTTCCCCTACCTGGGTCTTTGAGAGGTGGAATACAAAGGAGGAAAGAGTATGAGGAACTTGGATCAGGACCAGGATAGGTTTTCTACCTGCATCTTATAGAGATGGAATACAGATGAGAGAAGGGTATGAGGAACTTGGTTTAGGACCAGGATAGGTTTGTAGGTACTTTACAACATTTTCTCCAGCAATAATCCTGCCTTGGGCTCAAGCCTCCCAGAAACCACATAACTGGGTAAGTCACAAACAATATACTGCATTTTTCTCAGTAGAGACAAAAGGAAGGTGTAGGGACCTGGTGACCTGCTCCTTTGAGGGGAAATGTAGAGTAAGAAGGAGCCACACTCAGTTTTACTGCCTCTCTGCTTTGTATTTCTTCCCCATTCTGTTCTAGTAGCTTTTCTTGCTTTCTGTGTTTGACTGTACTCCCCATATAAGGTTTCACAGTACATGCTGATTGGTTTGTCTACCCATATTTAGGTGTAGACAAATAAGGTTGAAAAATACAAAAAATAGAATTGATTTACCTTCAGTGAAAAAAAACATAGTTTTCTATATGATCACTTATACATTTAGCACTAGGAAAATGTTAGGCTATTAGGTTAATATTGAAACTATACTACCTTTTTTTTTTTGTCACTCATGGGGCTTGAACTCCAGCTTGGGCGCTGTCACTGTGTTCTTCAGCTCAAGATGAGCAGTCTACTACTTGAGCCACAGTGCCACTTCCTGTTTTCTAATGATTTATTGGAGATCAGAGTCTCACAGACTTTCCTTTCCAGGCTGGCTTTGAACCGGGATCCTCAGCTCTCAGCCTCCTAAGTAGCTAGGATGACAGGCGTGAGCCACCAACAGCTGACTCTGTGTGTGTGTGTGTGTGTGTGTGTGTGTGTGTGTCAGTGTGTGTCAGTGTCAGTTATAGGGCTTGAACTTTAGGCCTGGACTCTGTCCCTCGCTCAAGGCACATGCTCTGCCACTTGACCCACAGCGCCACTTCCCATTTGCTGGCGGTTTATTGGAGACTTTCCTGCTAGGTTGGCTTTGAACTGTGATCCTCAGATCTCAGCCTCCTGAGTAGCTACAATTCTAAGCGTAAGCCACCAGCACACTGGCTGTACTACCTTATTTTTAAGCAACATCTTGAGCAGTTTGGCTAGACTTAAACCTCCTGGTTTAAAAACCATTGGTCAAACCACATGTCTAGGGCCACAGGACCGTCCTAGGAATGTTAGTTTTGATGGCTGGTTGGCCACGGGGTTTGTGTTTCTTAGCTATGGCCATGTTGTATGAAGACCATCTGCACCACCCAGGCTGTCTGCTTTCATAACAGTCCATGTTTTCTGACCTTTAGCTGAATTTTATAGGCCAGTTGGAAGTGTATTTTATGTCGCATCCTGACTGGATTTATTTTCACCATGTTGAGATGCTGCTGTCCTTACAGAAGCTGTCTTCTTCTTTAAGGGAAGGGAGCTGTGTACAGTTTTGACCCGGTCGGCTCCTATCAGAGAGACTCCTTCAAGGCTGGGGGCTCGGCAAGCGCCATGTTGCAACCCCTGCTTGACAACCAGGTATGAGCAGGTACCCACCGCGGCATCAGAGTCCCATCTTCCTGAGGCACTGCCACTCAGTCTCCATCTGGCCTGCAAGTCCTCGCCCAGCCCCATGACTTTGCAGGAATTAGTTATGTCTCAGTCCCCCTCTGCCTCCTTGACCTGAGGTCACATAAATGCCTTTCTCCTTACCCACAATTTCTGGATTACCTAATTTTATAGTCTCGCTATTCAAATCTGCAACGTTGGGTTTATTTCTCAACATACTTTATACCTTCAGGCTTAATTTCTTAATTCATCCTATTTATATAGCTACCCTTTTGCCTTTTGCTTATTTGCCTCACCTCTCAACACCATACCACACCCCAATACTAGTTTTTCCTGAAATGATCTATTCCTCTTATCTGATACCACCCCCACCCCACCTCCAATACGAATGTTCTGTGCTCTCTTGAGAGTGCCTACCATCAGACTTGGTTGAGGGCTGTTTGTGACTTAGCTGTGACACCTCAGTAGGTGTCCACCTGTATACTTTTCAAGCGTGGGAGCCTTGTCAGTACATATTTGTCAGCCATATATAACCTTGAGAAGACTGGACAGTCCTCAGTTTCCTGTTAGAAGACATCCTATGACATTATATGGTTCCACTGAGTCTTCAGAGATGTTAGGGAAATCTGTAACCTCCCTTTGGGCTTACTGTCTCATGGCATCTCATCCAAATCTGTCCCTCCAGGTTGGTTTCAAGAACATGCAGAATGTGGAACATGTCCCACTGTCTTTGGATAGAGCCATGCGACTGGTGAAAGATGTCTTCATCTCTGCAGCAGAGAGGGATGTGTACACTGGGGATGCCCTCAGGATCTGCATTGTGACCAAGGAGGGAATCAGGGAGGAGACCGTTCCCCTGAGGAAAGACTGATTGATGTAGCCTATCTTGGAGCTGCCAGGACAAGTTTGTTTTATTAAAAAAGAGCACTGAAGTGCTGATTTCATTATCATGTGTCTTAGTGTCTTCTCTAAGCAATACAGAGTTAGAAAGTACAACTATCCTTTGTTTCATTCTAACACAATTTCTATCTTTCAGGGGTTTTTGGAAAGCAGTACTGGAGGTAGACTCAGGCCATTACTAAGCAAGTACTTTACCATTTGAGCCAATGTTTCTAGTCCTTTATTGTACAGAGTCTTTGTTCAGATGGGATTGGCCTCATATGCCCTCACACCTGGCTTATTTTTGAAATGGGGTCTTGCTACCTTTTATTAACATCAGTTAGTTGTATGAGTGGATTTCATTTTGAATGCCTTTTTTTGGGGGGGAGGGGGTCAGTCATGGGGCTTGAACTCTGGGCCTGGGCGCTTTCCCTGTGCTCTTCAGCTCAAGGCGAGCACTCTACCACTTGAGCCACAGCACCACTTCCATTTTCTGAGTGGTTTATTGGAGATCAGAGTCTCACAGACTTTTCCTGCCCAAACTGGCTTTGAGCCGTGATCCCCAGATATCAGCCTCCTGAGTAGGTAGGATTACAGGCTTGAACCACCTGCAGACTCCACTTCCGGTTTTCTGGTGGTTTATTGGAGATGAGAATCTCATGAAGTTTCCTGCCCAAGCTGGCTTTGAAACATAATCCTCAGATCTCAGCCTCCTGAGTAGGATTATAGGCAGGAGCCCTGGGCTTGAACAGGTCCTTCACACCTCCTCTTCCTCAAACACTTGACAACCTCATTGCTCTGTTTTCACACACATAAAATATGTTGGTCATACTCACCCTCTCCATTTGTCCTTCACCTTCCTATAGCAAGGGGTCCTATTTTATATGTGTGTTGTCCAATTTTTTTGGTGTAAAAAAAAAAGTAATTGTTCACAGTCATTTCACTGTGTATTTCAAGTATGTATATGCAGTATTACAATTAGAATCCCTATTACCTTCACTTCCCCTGCCCCTTCCCCTTTATTCAGATTTTAGTGAGTTTCATTTTGCCATCTTTATCTACAGGTGCAATGTATTTTGGTGGTATGTCACCCTCAAACATCCGTGCCCCTATTCTCTTACTCCTAAACAAGTGAGTGAGTGTGATTTTGTATTGTGCATGTTTATCTTTTAGGACTACCATACACATATGAAAAAAAAAACTTGAAAACTTTTCCCTCCAAACCCAGCTTTCCTTTACCTGAGTATTCCTACTCTATCCATTTCCCTGCAAAGAACAAAATGTCATGTGACTCGGCAATTATACATTACCCAGCCACAATTCCCTTCATGTAAAGACAATCTTTACACTTTTTTTTTTTGAGACAGTCTTGAATGGTAGCTCAGATTGGTATAGTGCTGGGATTAGTGTGCTACCACACCCTTTTTTTTGGGGGGGGGGTCCGGTCATGGGGCCTGAACTCGGGGCCTGGGCGCTGTCCCTCAGCTCTTCAGCTCAAGGCTAGCGCTCTACCACTTGAGCCACAGCGCCACTTCCAGCTTTTTTCTTTTTGCTTATGTGGTGCTGAGGAATCGAACCCAGGGCCTCAGGCATGCAAGGCAAGTGCTCTACCACTGAGCCACCTTCCCAGCCCCCACACCCTTTTTTTTTTTAACCTTTGGTTAAGATTAGAAGTGTACAGTGCTGGGATTAGTGTGCTACCACACCTTTTCTTTTAATTTTTGGTTGAGATTAGAAGTGTATAGTTAGCTTTCAAGATCCTACTTGAAAAGCTGCCATTATGTACAGAATTTTATCACTGCCTATCTGTATCTTACAGAATTATTAGGGGAAACTTACTTTTTAGAGGTAATTAGCCATGACTTCATACTGAGTTTTTTTCTATAATTATCAGACAAACAGGTAAGAAATACTTGCAGGGGCTGGGAAGGTGGCTCAGTGGTAGAGCGCTTGCCTTGCATGCATGAGGCCCTGGGTTCAATTCCTCAGCACCACATAAGCAGAAAAAAAAAAGCCAGAAGTGGTGCTATGGCTCAAGTGGTAGCGCACTATTCTTGAGCTGAAGAGCTGAGGGACAGCACCCAGGCTCAGAGCTCAGGCCCCATGACTGGACCCCCCCCCAAAAAAAAAATACTTGCAAATAGTCCACTCAGAATAGGTAGTAAGGTCATGAGAGGTGGAGATAGAGTTGAGTTTGTGGCCTATAGGTGCTGGCTCTTGAGCTGACATTTTCTAGCATCCTGCCCAACATGAAGTGGCTTTGTAGCCCACCAAAGAATTATGAGCTAGTAAGAAAATGTTCTACCAAATACCTTAATTATTCCTTTCTGTACCTGTGACTAAGATTAGTCCTTCATGACTCAAGGCCATATGTACATAAATCATCTTTCACTTTATATCAAAATAATCTAGAGTATTTGTCTTGTCCCAGACTTGCTGTTGTGGTGTCAGAAATAGGACATGAAAAATCTTTTTTTTTTTTTTGTCAGTCAGTTGTGGGTCCTGAACTCTGGACCTAGACCCTGTCCCTCAGCTCTTCAGCTCAAGGCTGGCGCTCTACCACTTGGGCCACAGCACCATTTCTGGCTTTTTCTGCTTATGCGGTGCTGAGGAATTGAACCCAGGGCCTCATGCATGCAAGGCAAGCACTCACCACTGAGCCACCTTCCCAGCCCCCAAATCTGCATTTTTATTAACAACTACCTAGGTGATGGTTATACATTAGAGAACTCTTTAACTCAGCATATAGGATCAATCAGAAATAGCCCATGAGAAACATCCCCAAATCCACACTTTAAGCCGATGGAAATGGTATTGGTTTGGAGTAGGGAGGTATGGTGTTGTGAACTTGGGGAGGTCTGTGCTGCAATGGGAAGGGCGGTGGCATTCAAGGGGAGGGTGTGGGTGGTAGTAGAATGAAGGCAGTGGTGGTAGCTATGAAGAATAGTTGAAGTACAAAACACAGAGCTGAATGGAACTATGGTCTTCAGGCTTGAAGATACACTTGGGCAAGTATCAGCCTCCCTTTTTATGCTCTAAACACTAATCAGCCCTGAGCTGAGAAGCTGGAGGAGACAGGCAATTGTGAAGGGTTGCTGGGGGAGATGGGCAGTCCACCAGGTAAGCTATCCTGACAGCCATCATATTATCTGGGTATAATAAGACTACTGTTGCCTGATTCCTCTCTGGGTTTTCAGCCCCCATAGTGCAAACCCCTTGCTCAGCAGTTATTTCCATTACCTCATAAACTTCAAGTCTTGTATTTCAGATCTGTCCACAAAGCTCAACCTTACTCCTATTTAACTCTCCCCTGCCCCTTCCCCCTCTCCATCCCTTCCATCCCCGGGTCCTGAGGCTCTTGAACTCAGTCTAGGTGCCTTCCCTGAGCTCCTTTACCTCTTGAGTAACAGCACATTTCCAGCGATTAATTGGAGATGAGTCTCATGGACTGCCTGGGCTGGCTTTGAACCATGATCCTCAGATCTCTGCCTCCTGAGTAATCTAGGATTACAGGTGTGAGCCATTGGAACACATTCTTAATTGAGTAAGATCTTTTCTTTGGTCAGTTGTGGGGCTTGAACTTGGCCTGGGTGCTGAGCTCTTTCAGCTCAAGGTGAGCACTCTACCACTTGAGCCACAGCGCCACTTCCTGTTTTCTGGTGGTTAATTGGAGATAAGAATCTCACAGACTTTGCTGTCCAGGATCAGTGATCCTCAGATCTCAGCCTCCTTAGTAGCTAGGATTATAGGCATGAGCCACCAGTGCTTCCCTTAATATCTGCCTTCATGTGATGTCCACTAGTACCCTGTAAATTATAAGTCCAGATAAAAACTTCAACTATGTGGCTCTCCTTAGAGCTTGTGAGTCATCTTTGTAAAATATTCCAACTGCATCCTGGGATGTGGACTGGTACAGGATGATGTAGTGAGCGTAAGTGATCTGAAGTGTGGGCTCCATTTTGGCCTCAAGTAGACCAAAGTTGACTGAGCTCTTGGAAACTGGAAACTTCAGTGAATGCCAGGCTCCCTTTCACTCTCCTTGAGGCCTCCAGATGGCAGTATGTACTTGTCTCTGTGCCCCCGGTGTGTTCCCTGCAATTACCCAGGGCCCAGCACTTGAGTTCTTGGGAGTAACCTGGAAAATGACACCTGTGGGCACTCTGTACTTCAGCTCCTCCTCATCCCTAAGTGCAAAGACTAGAAGACAAAGCCAGCCACACAACCTTATTAAAAGTATGTGTCAGGTATGTATGTGGTTAGGAAGGGGAGAAAGGAAGGAGGGAGAAGGGACTTGTTTCGAGACAATCAGAACAGGATCTTTTTATTTTATTTTATTTGTGAACATACTGTACAGAGGGGTTACAATTACATCGGCAGGATAATGCGTACATTTCTTACCAAGCATTGCAGCCTCCTCCTTTGTTTACCCTTCACATCCCTTCCCAGCCTCCCCCCTCCCCCCCAATCCCAATCCTTCCCCTCCTCCCCCACCCCCCTTGTTGCTTTGTATGTCCCTCCCCCACAGTATAACCTCTGCTTTCACTATATTTGATGTCAGTATAACTTGTGGAGGAGATGGGGAACAGGATCTTTTTTGGAGCTATATGCTTTCATAAACAGGAACTAATGTCTAGGGTATACATTGAAATACTTTTTTTCCAGCAGCTAACTATTGAGACTCAGGCTGTCTCTGTCTCTCTCTCTCTCTTTTCTCCCTCCCTCACCCTTCCTCCCAAGCTTTTCTTTTCTTTTCTCTCTTTCTTTCTCTCTTTCTTTCTCTCTTTCTTTCTCTCTTTCTTTCTCTCTTTCTTTCTCTCTTTCTTTCTCTCTTTCTTTATCGGCCGTGGGGTCTGAACTCTGGGCCTAGGTGCTGTTCCTCAGCTCTTCAGCTCAAGGCTAGCATTCTACCATTTAAGCCACAGTGCCACTTCTGGCTTTTTTCTGCTTTTGTGGTGCTGAAGAGTTGAACCCAGGGCCTTATGTATGCAAGGCAAGCACTCTTCCACTGAGCCACCTTCCCAGCCCCCTCCCAAGCATTTCTATTTCATTTATTGTACTTAGGTAAATT